AATACTCGTAGACTGCGTCAACATGAATATAATATAAAAGCTGAACGGCTGCAGTACAACGATTTTCATCCGTCCTCATCAGTGAGATCGACAAACGAATCTCTTCTTCATGTACTTTTATTCGAACTGGACTAGGTATGTTCCACAAGGTCTCTCTGACGCTCCTACTAAGTTGCGAAAACGAGCTTGAACCAACATTATAAAGCTAAAGGATACTGCGACCAAACAGAAGGCCACACCATCTTGGCTTTCATATCTATGATCTATTTTTTAACTTCCAGATTGCACTGCTTCTAAATGTATGCCCGGACACTAGGCAACAATAGTTCCATAGAGCTAAGTACGCCGTATAGTTGGTGTTTTATTATTTTTTACGATTAAATGACGTTACATCTGGTAGTAATTTACAGTTTTGAACTCTAATGTTTAAGATACTTTTAACCTTTATGATAACCACTTTCTTGAACTTTATATTCGTCTGGAATAGAGCTGTACCTCGAAATGTTGCTGTCGGCCCTCAGTGTAAACCGCTAATCCGTCCCCTTGCAGTTCAGGAAATAAATAAGTCTTTAGGACCGGGTCAGACAGTTACAAGCACTTTTACTCTTGGAGGTTCAGCTAGTAAGCCGACTTGCTCCACCTCTACTGGTATCAAAACACTTACTCAGAACACTCAAGCAGCATCCGATATTTCGGTACCATCTTCACGTCAACGCGACATGGCTGAAACTAATCGGCAGCAGACAAAATCTCCGAGGCAGTCAGCCTCAACAACCTCCTTAATGAAATCTTCTACCGGTACCCCCAGCGAGAAGCCTCCATCTTCTACGTCGTCATCTTCAAGAAAAAGAAAACGTAAGAATGTCAACACATGCCTAAAAATGTCTATCTTATTGGGCTATAATTACTAATATTTTGGATAAGAATTTATATTACTAGGAGACAGAAGAACTAATAGATTATTTGTTCAATATGTTAGTATTGAGATGTTAATCCTCCTGCCCATCTAGTTTTGGGGATATTTTAAGTGTTGCTTATATTTTCACCTAATAATAATAAGAAATAATGGTCATTACGAGTTTTACTCGTAGAAAATAATCTCTGTAACAAACCTTATCTAGAGCAGGCCTGCCTTGCCATGAATGTAGCATGTTCAGTTCATGTATTAAGCCCTGGCTTGGTGATAACTTTGTTGTGATTCTAAGAAGGACGTAGAAACTACATATATGGAGGCCCCGAAATAAGGAGAGAAAAGGAACAAATACTGTAACCAATTGTCCTATTTTGAAACGGCCTAATACAGTATAAGGGAGCTGATAATAGAAAGACAATCTTTGAAAGATGGCGCCGAACAGAACATCCTAAACCTCGCGGTCTGCGGCGGAGCAGAGAAAAAAAAGGAAAAGAATGTGACCAATTTAAACAGACTATTAGCTAGAAGTTGTTTGATCTTGTTTTTGCAACTTGGTCATATTGGTAGGAAGACTTAGAGGAATGAGTCCATTGTATGCATCATAATTTCTAAAGTCTTACCATGGATGTGGCACATTCCCAGACGCTTCGCCGGTATCGTCAGTGAGTCTCGCCATTCTTAGCGCCACACAGCAACTCGTCAAAGAGACAAGTAAGCCAATCCTTTAACCAAACGTGTGCTAAACAGTTGTGGTATCTCTCCTTCCGTCCTGGGCTATTCACCTTTCCTATATCCTCGTATCACGCCTTCACTACCACAATTTTTTTCTTTTCCTTGCTTATTTAAATTTAGTGTGGTGTGCCTTTTTGAGCGGCTTTTATGAGAACCCTTCACACTCCACGCTGGCGTTCTCAACCTCCTTTACTCTTGTGCTGGGAATGTTAATCAGAGCCTGCCATATTGTTACGCAGTCCTCCTTCCCTAGATCTTACCAGTCTCCTTGTCCCGCAGGATCAGTCTGCTATTACCCTGGTTCAAGTATTTCAATCGACTCCTGCCACCTCATATGTGCTCCATGAGGCGTTATTACCCATCCCCTGCGTCTGGGTCACTAATTCGAAGCTAAAGCCTCTTAGTAATTCTCATGGTCAAGCCTTTGCTTTATGGACCACGTCTATGGTAAAACAGGCCTACTGTCAGCCAACTAGCTTTAGTCTCCGCCGCTTCTATCCTGTTTCTATCCTT